ATGTGAAGGAAGGCCTTCTACTCTGTCTAATCTGACTAACAAAATAACAGTGCACATGATGTATAAATAATAAAACCTAACATTTGCATATTTATTTCGAACATTGTTAAGGTTCAAAGACACAAACACAAATGCTTGCATTAAAACAAATAAAATACACCTGACAAAGGAAACAAATAAATAAAATAAACACAAGTGCTGGCTGTTTAAAGCTAGTTCACATAGAATAATAAAATAAATAGATTTGAGGTCAATGTTGTGAAAAAAAAAAAACTCCAACTGATACAACAAAAGTGCTTTCCTGCCACCTACAGCTGGCCTGTCATTGTTTCTGGGTGGCTGGTAGGTTGTTGGTGGGTGGTGTATCTTCAATCTGGAACAGAAATTAATACAATGTCAGGATAGATGCACAGCATAACAGAAATTCCTAGTGTATAAGTAGCATATAGGTCTGTTTTTTTCCTTAACAAAGACTAAGTCTCTGTAAAAACTACATTTGACAATCCATTTCAAACTCATACAAACAACCTGTCTCCGCCTCGCGGTGAATCCAGCTCCTGTCTGCTCCATGTGTTGTGTAGGCTACTCTGTGCCCAGCCGCTTCAGGTTTGAAAGTGGGTGTGTGGCGGAAGAGCTGACGAGGAGGAGGCGGAGGAGGATATGTAATTTTCGTCTCGTCTTTGTTAATGAACTAAAATGTCCATAGAGTTTAGCCCAGTCTTTATTTACCGAACTGCATTATCGTCTCGTCTTTATTAGTCTACGATAATTATTTCTGATTTTCTCCCAGTTATTGTTTATTAGTGGGGATTTTAATCTTGTCTCGTTTTCTTCGGTAAAAAATGTGTGTTGACGAAAATATTTTCCTTTAGTTTTCGTTAACGAAATTAACACTACCCCAGAGGTCAGTTCTACTCCCTGTCCTTACCTTAATCCCAGGCCATGTAGAGGTAAATTAACAAGTCGCTAAAGGCTGGGATAATTCGCCCTTTATCCTATGCCGTTGGCGCAGATTTCTTTTTCGTAGGGAAGAAGGATGGGTCCCTCAGACCCTGCATTGACTCTAGGGAACTAAAAGAGGTTTCTGTCTAGAACCACTACCCGATTCTGCTTAATAACTCAGCCTTCGACCAGATTCAGGGGGCCAAGATCTTTACCAAATGGACCTTCAGAATGCCTACCATTTGGTTCGTATTAAGGAGGTGAGTGAAAGACGGCTTTCAACACTCCCTCTGGCCACTATAAATATCTGGTCATGCCATTTGGGCCAAACAAAGCCCTGGCGGTTTTCCAAAACCTTGATAACAAGGTACTCCGGGACATGATTGGTCATGTTGTCTTCATCTGCCTTGATGATGTTCTGATCTATCCAGAGAAGCTCTTGGCCCACAGAAAACATGTCTGTGCTGTCCCTCTCCGTCTTCTCCAGAACCAGCTGTTCGTAAAGGCGGAGAAGTGTGAATTCCATTTCATTTCCATTACCTTCCTTGGCATCAAGGTGTTCCCGGGTGAGATTTCTATTGACCCAGCAAAGGTCAAAGAGTGGCCTATCCCATTTGACAGGAAGCAGCTCCAGAGGTATCTGGGATTTTCTAACTTTTACCGGAGTTTTATCCGTGGGTATAGCCAAGTCTCTTCTCCCCTTCATGCCCTGATCTCAAGCAAAGTCAAGTACCCTTGGAACGACCAGACAAACAGGGTGTTTATGTGGCTCAGGTCCCTGTTTATTTCAGCTCCCCTGACCCAGACAAACAGTTTGTTGTGGAGATGAATGCCTCCACTCCTGGAGTTGGGGCCGTCCTCAGCCAGAGGACCCAGTGCCTTTTTCTCCAGGAAGCGCAATTACAACATGGGCAACCAGGAACTCCTTAGCAGTCAAGCTTGCCTTGGAAAAGTGGAGACAATAGTTTAATGGATCTAAGCTACCCTTTTTGGTGCAGACTCTGCATCAAACTGACCATAACAATGCAGGGTTTTTTTGTACCATGTTATTTTCTCCCACAATGTTTACATTTAATCGCTGCTACATTTTAAGAAATGGAAATGTCAGGAGAGCTGTACAAAACAAAATTTCATTTTGTATACACTCTGTGTATACAAAATGGCAATAAAGTTTGTCTACGTCTAAGGATAAAATAGAAGTATCTCAGGACAACAAAGAGACTCAACTCCAGGCAGGCCAGGTGGGCCCGATTTTTTGGACGTTTTAACTTTTCCCTGTCTTACAAGCCTGGGTACAAGTACGGACCGCCGGACGCCCTGTCCAAGATGTTTGAGACCAGGGAAGAGAGTACTAAAAAGGCACGGGAGTACATTCTACCCCACACTATTAGGTGTTCCATCACAAGGTTTGACCTTGAGAGGGAGGTCAAGAGGTCTCTGGATGGAGCACGGATGCTTGAGGCCTGCCCCATAAGCAGACTATATGTCCCTAATCCACTGATCAATAATGTCCTAAACTTCTGCCATTTCTCCCATCTGCACTGTCAGACTGGTATTACCAAGTCTGTCAGAATCGTCCGTTCCAGTTTTTGTGGCCCACCTTGACTAATGATATCAAGGAGTTTGTAGCTGCCTGCCCACAATGTAACCAGCCC